ATAAAATATATAATTAAAATATCTTACAGTTTCTACACTGAAAAAGTGTGAAAACGGGGTTTTCTGGGTTGGCTATCCTCGCCGTCGCAAAATACTTGTTCTCAGAGACGATATTCTCTTTGATGTCTCGAAACGTTGCGTTTACGTTTTCATGGAAGATGGATAAGTTGGGCAAGACGACTTGGTTGGCAGATGGTGTGCAGCGGCCGTATATAAGATTGGTCTGTGGATCCGAAACGACGGCGTCAAGTGTCCACCATGACCAGAATATGAAGGAGATTACAGAAAGGAAAATAGGTTGAAGAAGCATGTTATATATATATATATATATATCTGCGTGTGTGTGTGTGTGACTGTGTATGCAGAGGTTGGCTGCAGGTGGAGAGAATAATGAAGATGAAGAAGGAAAGAGAGGTCAAGTTGGATCTAGCGATATATAAACTATATCAGAGATTAGAGATTGGTGTTTGAAGAGGAGAATTATATCAGAGAATTAATGAGGAAGAAGAAACTGATACATTTGAGGGAAATCGAAGACAGCCATATGGCTTAAGATCCGGGGCATCGGATCAGCTGTTTCAACACAATTCGTCATCTTCTTCAAATGATCGATTGAAAGGAAAATCGCAAAAAAAGACTAGAAATTGTAAAATTGTAAACAAGGTATTTTGTAAAAAATTTGTTATCATTTATCATTTGACTGTTATTAAAACCTATACAAATTTTATAACGGATACTGATGCGATTTTGCAATTTTCACGGTCTTTTTCTTCTTTTTTTTGTGATTTTTAATTGATTGGAGGATGCAATAAAAAAAACTCTTTATTGCATGGGATGTCAATGTTGCAATTTTTGAAAGTTTCTTTTTTTGACCCAAAGCTTTGTAAATTGCGTGGGGCAGTGCCCTCCCGTACCAGAAGGACAAAAAATTAAATGGGCTCCGAAGACTAACAATGACAGGGGGAAGTTGAAAAATTCCAACAAGGACACCCATATTGACCAGGTACCAACATTAAGGTTATATTATGATGTTTGTTTGTTTTTCTCTCACCTCTCCATTTGTTGACTATGTGATATTTTCCAATGAATTATGAAAATTTCGAGTAAATAATTTGGTGTGGGGAGCCATTTTGGAGTTTGGGCCCTAATAGGATAGTGGTTAGTGGTTTCTACTTCTTAATGAGCCATATCTTAATTCCTTAGTATTGTTCCTGAGTAGAGGTAGGAATCAAGGTCAGTCCTACAAAATCAAAATTTTAAAAATATCCCAATTTGTTAGGCCCGACCTTCAAACTAATGAACTCAAGGTTGGCCCACGGGCTTTCAGCCAGTTTAAAAAAATATACTATTTTTTATATTTCTCATAACTTTTGTCAAGAAAATAAAAAAACTAATGAAATTGTTAATAAAACACATAAATATGAATAAAATTAAGTCACAAATACAAAATATTATCATATATAAATATTCATCAATATCTAAGAACATATAAAGCATTCATTAATAAGATAACAATATCCAAAAGTTTCATCTGTAGTGCAATTATGCAATAAATAAATACTATCATTAATCTTGTGAAACTTCATCATCATTATAATCAATTACTCTTCTTCATAAGTATACTTTTCTTTCATAACAAAAATATCAAGATTTTCTTCTTTATAGGAATTTTATTTTTAAATTTTGCAATCTAGCTATTATTTTACTTTAGTGTGAGAAACATTATTTTTGAAACTCATGAATTTCTAATTCAAATTATAGAATCACAAGTTATATAAATATAAAAATACTCTATTATCAAATATATATAGTTTAAAAATATCAATGCATATAATATAAATCAAATCATTATTAATGTCCAAATTAATCCATTTTTTAAAAATTTAATCAGACAAATTATTGTCTAAAACTAAATAAATCAATCCATTTTGTGAAATTTAATTTTAAAATGATAATATCTAAAAAATTAATAATATTAGAAAAAATTTAAAAAAATTATAAAAATACCTAAATGGGCCAGCTCTCGGCCCTACAGGGCCAACCCTTTTAAGCCCTTGGCCCTGCAGGGTCTATTTCCCATTTGAGAGAAAAAATTTTAAACCTGACCCTTGTAATTTTAGAGTCTCAACGGGCTCGGCCTGTTTTTCCGGTTCTATCATGAGAATACTCCCACAATTTCATATATAAAATACAACTAACTGAGTTGCATAAATTAAAAAGTTAGCTAAAAATAAAAGATACATAAAAAATATTTTTTTTTTACTAAGCATGTCTTTATTTAGAGAGAGTGAGAGTGAATGAAAGAGAATAAGTGGGAAAAATGTAATGATAGCTAACATATAATCAAGAAGGGCAAAAATAAAAAATATTAAAATTTTAGGTCCCTTTTTTAAGTATATCATATGAATAATTCTAAGTCATTTCCCAAAAAAAAAAAAAAAAGAGTAGGCCAAGGGAGGATTAAAAACAATGGAAAGAAGGACAACAAATGAATGAGGGAGAAGACCACGGTACTATCATTAGCCTCATCATATGCTAAAGCTATCCACCTTGAATGAAGAAGCCAAACTACGAACAATTTTGAGTTTCTACATCACACCGTGACTACAGATCTTACCCTATATATTAACCAAGGTTAGAGATAAACTCGGATAATTATGATGACTTATAGTCATATAGCTTACTATGCCCTCATTTATTTATTATAAGCTTTAAATAACTAATTCACGGATAATAAATCATTAGTTAAAATTAATGAAAAACAATAATAAGTTAGAAATAAACTTTTGTTTTTAAATATGTTCTTATAATATATGAGAAAAAAGATAAAAGAAAACATGTGAAAAAATGTGATAAAAGAAAAATAATTAAGGACAATATTGAAAAACAATGTATTATATGCTAAGATAAACTCAAATTAAAACTTATAAAATGAATCATACTCTTCCTAAATTTGAAACTTATAAATAGAACCGGAAGGAATATATAGCACCCTGGTCTTTAATATAAGTCACTTATAAGTTCTAACTTACTTTTGCATACTAAGTAATGCATTAAATTGATAGAGTTTCCACTTTTACCATCATTTGAATTTTCTCTCTTTATGTTTACAAATCATTCTCATATCTATCGTTTCTTTTTTTCTTTCCAATAAGAATTAAATAAGGGTGAAATTAAAAATAGAAGCATTAAATTTACTATAAGTAACTTACTTTTAGGATCAAAACTTCCTATACAAGTGACTTATATTTAGGACTGTAATGATAGATCAGATTAATTTAATAACTGTTTGGAAAGAATTATTAATTAATTAGGCATAATTGTTATATCAGGAAATTAATGGTATATTAATAATGACCCCTATTATAATTGTAAGTAAACTAAACTCCTCAAAATAGATATACTTTAGACAGGACTAGTCTTAGCTCGGCACTTAGGCTAAACCGAGCACTAAACCTGAACAGGCTTAGTCTAATATGCTGGTCGCCGGAGATGAGTCACCAGGCATTGGGCTTCAAATTCTATTCTAATATCTGTGGTTGCCAAAAATCTAATTCTGTGTAGCAAAGAGGGAAGAATCCAGATTAGAAAAACAACAAGACTCGAATCAAATTTTGAACAAAGAACCCATCATCATCTCATGCCAAATCTGGGAAGAGGACATCGGAGAAAGGAGACCCAAACGGCCCGTGTTCTTAAACTCGGACCGGTTCGGACCCCGGCGACCCAAACAGCTTATGCCGGACTGGTTTTTTGTGTTGGACCCTTTCGCAAGAAGAGAAGAGGAAGAAGAAAGTAGGAAGGAAGAGGAGGTTTTACCAGGCCGAAAAAGGATAAAAAGAAGAAAGAGGAAAACTCTCACCAGCCAATAATCCAGAACTTTAACAGGAAATGAGGATTTTAACTTTTTAAATTTATTATTCCAAATAAGCCCTTAATGGTAAAAAGGGCCGTTAATGTGTGGACTGTGGACCACACGTAGGAGGAGAGTGAAGGGCCCACAAGCAAGCCTGCTATGCTCATCATGAAATATCCATGGGCCAGATCTCATTTAAACTAAATAAAAAAAAAATACAATCAGGTCCCACCTAAGAGAATTAGATGTAAAAACATTCTTTAAAATTATCAAATTATTCTGAAATCCTAAGAGACCTCGTTACAAGAGATTCTATTTGTTAATTATCAAATTGCCTTTATCTCTTTTTTTAAGTATGTATTGATAACTGAAAGTACAGTCGTTAACAACTTAAAGTTTAAAGATTAACACCTATTGTGATAGGTATTGACAATTCACGCATTAAATTTTTGTCAGGTGTTGAGAAAATGTGTTGTTAATAATTTCCGCGATAGTGGTTAATTGTTTACACTTTAAGTTATTAACGACTGCTCTTTCAATTGTTAATGCAAATTTTTTCAAAAAAAAAAAACAAAGCAATTTGGTAATTAAACAAATCAAATATTTTGCAATGAGATCCGGACTTCAGTATAATTTGATCATTTTAAAGGACCTTTTTGTTTTTAATTCTCTTGGATGGGATTTTATCGCAATTTTTTCATAAATAAAGCCTATTCATTTTAAAAATAAATTTCAATTAGGTTTCAACAATCTAAAATCAGTATACACAATTGAAACTAATGATGACCTATCCACATCAAGATGACCATATGGAATGTGTTTCTGTCGCATGTAGGACACACACACACACTATTCTTCCTATTCTAAATATGAAAGCTAGTTAACTAATTTGAGTATATTAAGAAAATAAGTTAAGTTGGTTATTTGTAATAAATAGTTATTGCTTTTCCTAAAATATCCTTGTTAATAAAATGTATTAGCTAAAACTACAATTATTAGAAGGACTACCTTGACAAAAAAAAATGCATAAATATAAAAAACAAAGTGGATTGAGACTTTATATTTATGACTAAAATAAAAATAAAACAAAATCTAATATCAAGGACATATGTACAAGAAAGAAAAGCGGTGGATGAAGTTGTACCTGAGAAAGCAGCCGTCGTAGACGACATAGCCACCGGCGGCAGGGCCGTTTCGGATTTGTACAGTGGCGACGTCGAAGCAGGCAACACAATCATGAACGGAGAGATAGTTTCTGCACTGAAAAAGACTGCTAACGGAGCTTTCTGAGTTGCCTTGCTGCGCCGTGGCGAAGTACTTGTTTTGAGTGACGATCTGGTCTCTGATGTCTCGAAACGTTGCGTTTATGCCGTGATTGATGATGGAGAAGTTGGACAACACTAGTAACTTTGTTGGGGTGCACCCTTGAGCTACAAGATTGGTCTGTGGCTCCGAAACGACGCCGTTAAGTGTCCACCATGACCAGATCGTGAAGGTGATAATCAAAGAAAGGAGATTATCAGGTTGAAGCATCTTTTGGTAAATGCAATTAGAGAGCGAAGATGAAGAAGGAAGAATAATAAAGCAATGATGTACAGAAGAGAATCGAGCTGTTTCTTCTCGCGCGCGTGTCTCTGTGTGTGAGTCGCACGCATGGAGAGCCTGTTCGTAACTTGCTTCCTTCCTGGGTCTTGCAGAAGAAGATGGACTGGTTAGTGGAAGACTTGGAAGACGAATTAGTGTAAGACTTGGTCAATTCAGCAGCCTCTAGTTAAACGCACGTCAAAGTGGTCACAAGGGCCAGCCTACAACAACCAGGACAAAGAATAGTACCTACTATTAAAAGCATCATCTTATTTACATTTGGTTTAAAGTAAGCATTATCTGGAAAATTAATCTTTTTTGTCATTCAACTTTTAACTTCGTACAGTGACTCAGTCCTTGAACTCTTAGTTAAAACTCAATTTATATACATATACTACTTCCGCTCCTTAATATTAGAGTTTGTTGACTAATTTAAGTGGACTTAAAAAAATTAGTTAAATTCGTTCTTTGTAATAAATAAGTGTTGTGTTCTATAAAATATTCTTGCTGATCATACTTATAAGCTAGGTCTATCATATGATGAAACATTTAATATTTGCAACTACTTCAAGGACTATCTTAAAAAAATATATAAATATGAGAGACAAAATAAATTCAGGTTTTATATTTAAAACTAAATTGAAAGTAAACTATTTTTTTATTAATGACCAAAAGTAGTGTGTATATATGAGTGTGTGTATAACTCTCAGTCTCTTGCCCTCATTTTCCTCCTGTTTCTTAAAATCATCCGTAACGTGGGGTTATTATACACATTAAATTATACAGTTTCCCCCTCACTTTAATTTGATTTTGATGTGTGTGATCTTTTACCACACACACACATATAGTGATAAAGGATGGTGATTGATCAGTGGGCGTCGTCGCTGGTCCCAATGGGGCAAATGGTGACCCTTTCACCAAAATGTGTCGACACTCTGTGTTCCAACGACTTGTGCACTTATGAACGAACTTTGGAGTTAACTGGAAAAAATGAAGTCGTCACGTGATACTAGGGTCAGTCGTGATAATGTGGGCCGGGGGTCGATCGACATCCGGCGGCTGAAAGGATACTGTATCTCTTTTTGTTTTTTTGAGCCAATGGGGATATTGGATTTTTCTTTTCAAAGCATAAATAATTCTGTTCGAAGTATTGTAAGGAATAAAATGTGGGTATCTTTTTTAGTGGAGATTTGAATATTAAAAATATTACTTCTTTTTTTTTTTTATCAATGAAGAGCGAAATATTAATATATATATATATAGCAAAAATATTTTACTTATCTATTTTATTAATTCAACTAAATAATTGTTTATCACTTTCTTAAAATGAGCTGATAAAAAGAATTTACGGTACTCAACCTCCTCCTCCTCCTCTTAAGATAATTTTAATTGGTTGATTCTGCTAAACTCAATGTGATAATCTCTGTTCGCAATGCCTAATAATTTTAACTCTAATTTTTCTTCTAATGTCATTGCATAAATATGATAGAAAAAGCATCTCAGTTGATATTCTCTTACATCTATCAGATTTCTATTTCACTCTTAACGTGACCATCAAGACAAAAACATGCATGTAAATTCACTAAAATGGTCTTATCATGTAGAAAACTTTAAGGAAAAATTTTCAAAAAGTGATTGTTGAATTTCAAAATTTTAAATCATTATTAGTTATTATACTTGTAAAAAAAAATTATTACATTCGAAAACTAAATGACAACATGTTTTTATAGTAATTATTGATTTGAAAACATAAAATTCAACAGTCATTTTTTTAGAACTTTCTCAAACTTTAACTTGATTAATTAAAAATTAAATTAAATTGGAATTGTGGTATCACTTTTAAAATTTAACGAACAATATAATGAAAGATTAAAATATGATTCGCTAAAAATTGTACAATGTAATTGACGTTTGTTAGAAGAGGGAATGAAGGGCATTCATTTTCTATTTTCTCCTCTTTTCATGTTATTGTTTTTTCCACTTTTTGATTCAAAACTCGAAGTAACTCATAATTACACATTCCTGAAAAATACTGTTACTATGCTGACGGTATAGAACTCAAGGCGTTGGACGTAGAGGAAGAGAAAGTGGTAGGGGTTTCTCCATGCGCTTTTAGTTGGTTTCGATCAAGATAGGCATAGTTGGTCTTATGTTCTCTAATAAGCCCTTGTTTTGCAACAAAACAACAACTTCAGACATTGTTGGCCTTATTGCAGGAGACGCTTGAGTGCAAAGTAAACCAATTTCTATGATTTTCTTCACTTCTTCTGCATCATACTCGTTAGAGTCTAAGGCACTATCCACCAGCTCTAAGTGCATGCCTCTCTCATATAGTTTCCACGCCTAATAAGTGGGATTCAAATGAAATGCAAAGATATAGGGTTAGAAAAGGCAACGTGAAACTTATGTTACTTGTTGTAAGAAGGTAATGTAAAACCTAGGGCGATGGATGCATTAGAAGTTAAAGTGCTGAATGTAATTGTAAAAACGATAAAATTAGGGTGTCAAATGAAACTTTAAAAAATAACATCAAGGTGTTGAATGTAGTGAAAAAAAAAATTATGGGTAAAATTGCACCATTTAAAAGATCAGGGTGTTGAGAATACCTAAGAAATGGTAAAATTGCACATTTACTCTTATTAAAATTGTGCTTCGTCTAAATTTGTGTGTAAAAATATAGTTTAAAGGACATTTTGCTTCTTAAATTGATATGCAAAGGCATTGAATATTTTAACTTATCAAGTGCAATAATGTCTCCCCTCCATTAAAATTACAAATAGGTACTGCGTGGAAAAAATTACCACCAATGAATCAGGTCCCAAAAATTACAAATCAATCGAAATTTTTTTGGGACTTACTTGGTATTAATTTTTTGAGGGTACGTATTTGTAATTTTACAAAAATTACAAAGAATAATTTGGAAGTAAAAAACTAACTCTAAAAATAATTGCCTATATAAATTGATATACAAATTTTGTTACCTTCTTAAGGAGGAATTCGCCCTCTGCATCACCATCAACTCTTAATTCTTCACTTTTTCTACCACTTATAATTTCCAACACTACAACACCGTAGCTATATATATCAACTTTCTCTGACAATTGGCCATGTATTACATACTCAGGTGCTGTATAACCTCTGACAAATGCATAACATTTTTAAATTGATCAGAATAATGACTCAAACACAAACATGTTAGCAATATCTGAAATATATATATGCAACAGAAAGAATAGCAACAAATCTTCATGCTGTATACACGGAAGAAAAATAATCCATTAAACTATTTATAGGTGTTAGAGGAGTGTTCTATTGACTAATATTTATGTTGTTTCAATAATTCTTTCGGTGACCTCCAATTCTGATTCCTGTATATATAATACAAGGTATGAAATGCAAGCATTACAACTTACAATGTTCCTGCAAAATTTGTGCTGAGGTGAGATTTGTCCTCTGGTAAAAACCTTGCCAATCCAAAATCAGCAATTCTAGGTTGCATATCACCATCTAGGAGGATGTTGTTAGTCTTTACGTCTCTATGTATGATACAAATATGAAATTCCTCATGTAGATAAGTTAATCCCCTTGCTGTTCCTAAAATTATATCATATCGTTGTTTCCAGCTGAGAGAACCTTTCGTTTTAGCTGTTTTACAAGTTTTCATACTATGAATGGCAGAAAGTAATGAAGGGGAGAAAACATAGAAGTGATAATTAAAATGTTTCAATCACAATATGATAGATGTTTACTACTCCAACAAAATTTTGCCAAACATGAGTAATTTTTCGAAAGAATATTTTTATTAAGTTGAACACATTTCATTATGTTAGGAAGTATTATGGAAAATGAATATGAAAAGAAGCACATGAATTATTTATGGAATGAAAATGCATTACCAAATAAGAACTTGTCGAGACTATTGTTTTTCATGTATTCATAAACAAGGAATCTGTCATGGCCTTTACTGCAACATCCCAAAAGACGAACAAGATTTCGATGATGAACATTATTTATAAGCTTCACTTCACTTTCAAAATCTTCATCCATCCTACTCAAGTGTTGAGTGGTTAATTTCTTAACGGCAACTATTTTTCCATTCCTTAGAGTTCCCTGTTGATAATAATTAAGTTGAATCAAGAAAATATTGTTAGCCTTTTACAACATGTAAATCTCATAGGAGACATCCCATGCTTTAAAATATGCTGGCTATTAAAATATTGACAAAATAAAAAGTTACCTTATATACTGTACCAAATCCTCCTTCTCCTAGTTTATTTTCATCACTGAAATTTTTTGTTGCAGACTTCAAATCCTGATAACTATAAGTCATTGGGCCTTCCAACTTACTTGTTTCAGTTATATCTCCTGTGAAGAAAACAATCACGTCAAAATCTCGTTTCTTAAATTTAGAAAAAAACCTGTTAAGGGTTCATCTTTCGCAGAGATGAATATCCATAACTATTTCTTTGAGGGAACGGGTGAAATTCAAAGTATCTGTATCATTATTAGTCATTGCAGACATGATATATATATATATATATATATATATATATATAGTGGATGAGCCCTTAACAAGTTGATTATACCTCTGGGAACTCTCCTGGGTCTTTGTGATCGTCTAGTCCAAGCAAATAATGCAAGAAGGACCAAAACAAGTGCTATAACCCCAACAACTCCGCCAATAATTGTCGCCTTATTGCTTGATGAACCTGCGCGAATGTGAAATAGAGATCTCATTTTCAAATGAGCACTCGCTCTCTATGATTCACTGCCACATCTAAAAAGGAGTTATAACAATTTAGTGTATTAATTAAATGTTCTTATACATCCTTTCATATATATACATCATGAGCAAATCAAATTGTCATGGTTCTGATTAAGATATACATAAAATGAGAATTCAAATTACAACATGAAAATCAAATTCGCAGGTTGCAGTAGTTTTATATATACGACCGCCAAGTTACTTAATAAATCCTTGACATAGAGGAGCTATATAAAATTATATTTTGAATTAACTGTACCTGGTTTAACCAAGGGTGTGATATCAATAGTCTCATTATCAGCAAAGAAGGAAGTGGTGGAGTATCTGATGAAACACCCAGCATCAAAAGCCCTACCCTCTGAATTGGAAAGACAAATCTGCATATTGCTATACGCAGCCTTTAAGCAATCTAGACACCCACTTTGTGTCAAAGTACCAACACATTGGGCAAAAGCATAAATAGTTTCACCATTAGTGGGCACTTGTATTTTTGTGGCTGCAGAGAAACCTGGAATTTTGGGTGTTGCTGTTTGGAGATTCATGAGCAAATTTTGAGCAGTTGCAGTGAAGGGAATGACTTCTCTGGCATTTTGATTGCCACACAATACTTTAGTCAAAGATCCTTTCGTCTCCCCATAGAAATCACCAGCCTCGTACCTCAACACATGAACACCACAAAGTATCCCATATCATTTTCCCATGTTCAGTATGGAGACGTACTATATATCTACATGTCAGCCTTAATCGATTAAATGTGACAATTAATACTCCTCCGGTTCTGACCTGGTTAGAGAGTTAGTTTTGATCCTCAGTGTAGGAGCTTAATTGGTTTTGATTGTAAATATAGAAGTTTAACTCATTTTATCTTGTATATTTATCATTTTTCTCAAACTAATGCAGTCAACTTATAAGCTAATATATAATCTCATATATGTTATATAGGGATATACAAGGGAGATCATATCGCATATGTTACAATTAAATAATGGGTTAAAGCTTAAAATTTGTCCCAAAAGTTTTTACACAGGAACTCTTGGTATGTGAAAGTTTTTTTGGGAGCAGATTTTTCTAAAGATTTAAAATCGTAACAATATTGCAGCCTATCATCAAAAATATTAATGGCAAATATTACAATTTTAATGGTCAACATTAGACTTTTTGATGGTAGGGAACAATATTGCCATGATCCTAAATTTTTTGGGGTAAATTTGCTCCTAAAATAGCTTTCAGATGCCCAATACTTATAAGTGAAAACTTCTAGAATAAATTTGCATCTTTGCCATTAAATAATTTATTTACGTTAAGGATCATATGTGTTTATCGGTTATCAGATTGGTTAGAAATGTAATTTTGGCAATAAACACTGTGAAAATAGACCAGATCTTGTATATGAATAGTTTGTAATGAGGAGATTATTATTCATAAATTCATTGAATAATACACATGCACAACTTCTTACATCGCACACCACACAAACCAATCAATATAGCTACCATGAATATCTTATCTCTCCGATCCACTTTTCAAAAGGAAAAGTCAAACTGGGTGGATTAAATGTACCTGAGGAAGCAGCCATCGTAGACGACATGGCCACCGTAGGAACCGGTGGAGCAGTTGCGGATTTGTGCGGCGGCGACGTCTAAGCACCTGACACAGTCAGCAACGGAGAGATAGTTTCTGCATTGGAAAAGAGTGGAAACAGGGTTTCCTCCATTGCCTTCCCGTGCGGTGGCGAAGTGCTTGTTTGGGTCACTGATTTGCTCTCTGATTTCTTGCAGCGTTAAGTTCAGATTGTCATTGAAGATGGTGTAGTCCGACACGACGAACTGGTTGGGTGGGCTGCACCCTATCATCAGAAGATTGGTCTGCGGGTCCGAAACGACGCCGTAAAAAACCCAGCATGCCCAGAATATGGAGATAAATAAGGTAAGGAGATTAGGGCGCTGAAGCATCGTTTAGTGGAGCTTACTGGCTGGAAATATTGTATTGCTTGGGTTAGTTCTGTGGGGAGAGAGTGAAAATGAAGAAGGAAAGAGAGAGCATGTGGTGTCTGGCTATGCCAACGAACTACGAGGTGTATACTCAAAGGACCGAATTAATGTTGTTTGAAAAGACGAAGTCAAAGCCGCGTTCCCCAATGGTAAGTGTAGTGGTAGAAATTTGGGTCTTTAGTTTGAACTTTATAAGCTTTCCTTTGCTAGTTTGTGTCTGAACTCTGGAAATTTGTGTTTTCTAGGCAAAGGACGTAAGAGAGGAGTTTGTGCCTACTACTACCTCCTATCTCCGAGCTCGAGTTTGACCCTAAATATTCTCAATCCCTTTTATACCCCATAATTATACATATATTAGATTATTCCTATTAATTCTAGATATCAAGGGAGTTTGCAAGAATAAGTGGTTTCAATGAAAAATGATTTAAGAGGGTATTTTTAAAAATCAATATATATTTTTTATAAATAACTAATTTAACTAATTTTCTTGATTTACTTAAATTAATACTACCTCCAGCCTTTAATATAAGAGTTAGTTGACTAATTTAAATAGATTAAAAAAGTTAATTAGTTATTTATAATAAATAGGTGTTGTTTTTCCTAAAACACCCTTACTAATCAAGCATATTAGCTAAAACTACCATTACTACAAGGACCATTTTGAGAAATAATAGATAAATATAAAAAATAAAATGAATTCGAGTATATATTTAAGACCAAAATAAAATTTAAGCTAACTCTTATATTAAGGAGTAGACATAATAAATCTCATATTAATTAAGGACAGGAGACAGTACTTTATAAGATTATAACTTGTTTAGTCTCAGTATAATTTTGCTTTAAATTTGTTTCGGATGTTCTTTTGGGCTTTTAGAACAGCATGTTCTCTCTTTTGACAAGAATAAGATAGTAAAAATCAGGCTAGTCATTAAATTGATCAGGAGGATTAGTGGGTAAAATGGAAGTAAATTTAATGTCAAACCAATCATTTAGAAGAATATAATTAACAAGAGAGTGTTTCATGTTTGAGCCCCACCAAACAAGTCTTTGGACATCTACTCGTATGGTCACTATTACAGGGAATTGGCCCTTGCAGTGCTGATGCATGCAGCGTGAAGATGAATTTTCCTCTCATTATACTCCTCCAGTCCTTAATATAAGACCTATTTAACTAATTTGATTAGATTAAGGAAGTTAGGTAAGTTGGTTAATTATAAGAAAAGTGACACATTTTTTCTAAAACACCATAATCATCTTTCTTAATACCCCACCTCCCTCTTCTATTTGATTATGGTTGAGGGAATATCCATAGGGGTAATTTAGAGAAAATTGATAAATATGAGAAATAGGTCTTATATTTAGGACCAAAACCAACTCAACAATCGGGTCCTATATTAAGGACCGGAGGAGTATGTTGTTATTTGGGTTCATACTGAGTGTTTATACTTTACAGCTTTGACAAAAAAAACTGAACCATTCAAAATTCATTATGATGATATTGAAAGCTTTCAATGTGATATTTTTAAATAATAAATTTTTTCCCCCTAAACTGTACACTTTTTTTGCCAACTGACTTGTACACTATCAAAATAATAAAACATTAAAATCAAAATAATAAAATAAAATAAAATATGAATCAAACAAATTTAATGTCGGGGGGGGGGATTTGAGATGAGCACCAGCCGTTGATGAGCAGAGGATGCAGATTTCTGTTTTGCGGTTGTTTGGTGTTTTATGCTTGGACTGTGAAAACGTTGTCGTTTTCAGGTCAAATAAAAAGAAAGCGCGTTCAATTATGCAGCATTTGCCTGGTCAGAGGGAAGACGGGTTCTTTTGTAGTTTCCGTTTTGATGTGGCACATTACTATCTCCGATCAATCTTGTGGGGCTATTTGGTTACACCCACTCCAATAGGTTTTGGATGGAACAGAGTCAATTGACTGGCTCGGTTTCAATAAGGTGTCGTCCGTACATAGGAAAAATACTTTTTTTTTTTTGGAGAAAATTGCAAAAAAAGATCTATTGGAATTTTTTTTCACCTAAAGGTATCTAAAATTTGTCTGAAGGCTATTTTCTCAAAAATCCCCGTTAAAATATTTATAGCTTAAAAGTATTTAAAATATTTATATATGCGGGTGTGACTCATTTTTTCAGTGGATGTAACTATTTTTTGACTGTATGAAACATGTTTTCAGTTATATATGTGCAAAGGTCTTTCATTCTGTCTATAAAATAGAATGCGTGTGACTTATCTCTCATGTGTGTAGTGTTTTTTTTAAAGTGTGTGCAACTCGTAAAAAATAATTGTGCAAAAAAGGAATGATATTTGAAAGGATGTAGTCAACTTGCACTACTGCAGAATTTAATGATAGAGAATTGGATTTATTTTGAATTTTATGAAGTGCCCTGGTCAGGAGGCAACATAGAGATATTGAGAGTTAAAAAAAAAATTTAAGAAAAAGATGAAATTATTCCTTTTTCTTCCTTAAACTAAGTCTTTTTTAAGGGATTTAATTCAGTTGGATACTTGAATTAGGGAAATTTCTTTTAAGCACCAAGGGACTTTGATAATACAGCTCATGGACTTATGCTAATGTAGGCTTACACATTTTGCACCTATTAGTTGGATTGAAATCCTAGAAGCTTCCCATTACTCCATATTCAACAACCATACTCCACCAATGACAATTAATTCTATGTCATCCATATTGTACTCCACATTCTTGAAAGGTAAAATTATCATGCTGATCATATTACATAATTCAAGGCACTACTAGCATTGGATTAAAAAAAAAAAAAACAGTATAGGTAGAAATATACTCTTTCAATTCTAAATATAAGTCACTTTTAACTCATTTATGCATACAAAAACAAGCATTAAAGTTTCCATAAAATGATATAATTTTCAATATTATTATTAACTGCACTAAATTCCACTATATCATATAATTTTTACCTTCTTTTACTATATCTACCTCATCGTCGCCATTACAGCGCATAAACGAAAAATATATAATGCTCCAACAATCTTATAAAGTGACTAATAAAAGGGAACAAAAAAAAAAGGTTTAAAAAATGCCTCATGTGTGTGTGTGATTAGAGGAAGTATTTCCATATGCCTTTAATTAGTTTCAATCAAAATAGGCAGAGTGGGCTTCCTATTCTCTAACAAATCCTTCTTTTGTTGGAGCAAAACAACTACTTCAGACATCATTGGCCTTCCTTCTGCAGATGCTTGAGTGCAAAGCAAACCAATCCCTATCATTTTCTTCACTTCGTCTTCAATATAGTCAGGAGGGCTTAAGGTTTTGTCCACCAACTCTAGGTGCATATCTCTCTCATATAATTTCCAAGCCTAACAATTGACAATTAAAATTAAGTAAAATAACATGGGGTATAACAGGTAGAGCAAAACAGAGGTTCATGTTTTCTCAAATATTTATTTTTAATTCTCAAAGAAGGAACTAATAACTTTACCAGAAAGAGTTTAACTAAGTTTGTTAAAGAAGTCTTGAATCTAAATTTTCTATAAAAAAATTGCATTTTAGAAAATTTTTAGAATTTTTCTTACCTTTTGAAGGAGGAATTCACCCTCATCATCACCATCGATAGTTAATTCTTTACTTTGTCAACCACTAATGATTTCTAAGACTACAACACCATAACTATAAATATCAGCCTTCTCTGATAATTGGCCATGAATAAAATATTCAAGTGCTGTGTATCCTCTGACAAATGCACAATATTAAATTACAATTATCAGAATATAGTCTAAACCACAAACACGTAAATATTAAGAAGCCATTTATATGAGCAATTGTTTTTCAAATATTAAGAAACCATGAGAGTATGAAATGAAGATATGCAACATAAAAGGAATGCAGCATGTACCACATCAATACAAATGATTTCTTGAACCATTCATGTTATATGAAAAGGAAAAAAATAAAAAAAATATTAAAACTATTTAGAGGAGTGATAGGAGTGTTCCATTGACTTGTACATAGATTTTATCTTCAATAATTTATATACAGTAGTAGAGGTTTAGAAAATTAAACATATTATGTTGACTTACAATGTTCCTGCAAATTTTATACTGAGATGAGATTTATCCTTAGGCAAAAGCCTCGCCAATCCACAATCAGCAATTTTAGGCTGTAGATTATCATCTAAAAGGATGTTGTTAGTCTTTATATCTCTATGTATGATACAAACATGAAACTCCTCATGTAGATAAGCCAACCCTTTTGCCGTTCCTAAAATTATGTTACACCTTTGCTTCCAGTTGAGAGAACCCTTCTCTTTACCTATTTTCCAAATTCACACAAATTAATTTGAAGGGAATGATTAAAGAGGAGGGGCTTACATTAAAGTCATCCTCTGATTCAACTGCAAATAGATCTAGAAGATTACCAAGTCCTTCAATAAGATTATGACGTGAGTAATTTTTCTTAAGGGCGTCAATGATACGTGGTTAACTTTAAAAAAAAAAAATCATATATCCACCTGAAAAAAGTTATGAATAATTATAATAACTTCTACTTGAATACTGAGACATCATTATTGTGTGTTGATAGGAACTTACCAAATAGGTACCTGTCAAGACTATTATTTTTCATGTATTCATAGACAAGAATTCTGTTTTGTCCTTTACTGCAACATCCTAGAAGTCGAACAAGATTTAAATGATGAACATTACGTATCAAATTCACTTCACTCTCAAACTCTTCCTCCATCCTTGTGAATTGGCGAAAATTTAATTTCTTGATTGCAACTACTTTCCCACTTTTCAGAGTACCCTAGTCAAGACAAAATGGTACAAGGACTTTGACCATGAAAGTGTTTTTCTGAATATGTAAATACGTTGAAAATCAAATTAAAGTTACCTTGTCTACAACGCCAAACCCTCCTCTCCAAGTTTATTTTCTTCTCTAAAATTCTTGGTTGCCAACTTCAAATCCTTATAACTGTAAGTAATTGGGCGGTTTAACTTGCTTGCTCCAGTTATCTCTTCTTCTGTTCAGGAGAGCATTGGTCAATATATATTTGTCATTTTTTTAAAAATAAAACCAGTTAGGAATTGTTCTCATAAGAGAGATGGAAGTCTACATTCTTTTATCACCTTGCTCTTCCTTATGACTCCTTGACAAGCACCTGGGCTTTCTGTGTTGAGTAACTCGACCTAAAGTCACCCCCGTTCACATCAAGTAGCGGGCCTCCTTCTGTACTTACACTGCTCAAGAATGGACTATGGTGCAAGAGATATCTACCCAAGAGTTCGTCCTTAATTTCGGGCCAAGGAAAAGGAAGAACTATAAGGGTCTAACAAAAAAGTCAAACACTAGGATCAATAGTGTAGGCATGTTGTGCGGGTTTTAAGAACAATTATCCTCCACATAACAAAATCCCAACCTCCACATATGAACCCCATGCATAATCACAATATATATTAAAAATATCATAGTTCTTTAGGTAAGATAATATAATTTCAAACAAAGTACAACATATTTTCATTTATTTAACAACATAATATTAGTATATTAAATTCAACACCACAAAATATAATTTCTAATAAAACACAACTCGGGCATAATTAAATCAACATACTTCTTACTTCACCAAAATTTTGTCATATAGGAAATATATACTTTATTCATAGACATACTTTCACAAATTAATTTGAGAAAATAAAACATAATAAACACCTTACAATCCAAAGCATATATATAAATAAATTAACTAACCCCGATTATCTCTACTCCAAGTTTAACCCCACAACTTGAGAAATAAGAGTATAAATTACAGACTTCGAAGTACAGGATAATCTACAAATAATGTAGATACAATTTAATATGCATACAAATCCAAAAATTCTTACTTGAAATAACAATTTTCTTCTACCCAAATAACTCATTTAAATTATAGATATTTATAAAAATATTGTTTTTATCTAATATTGTAAAAAATCAATTTATAACTTAAGTTTCTAGCTTCAAAAATTTTCTAATAACATATCCTTAACCTATTTCACACTTTAAACCGATTAAAATCTTAATAATATATTAAATAACTAAAATAGGTTATTTAACTTAAATTTAATTGGTAAAAATATTCTATATATCTTGAGTAATATATTTTTCAACTAAAATTTTAGTTTAAAATTCTCAAAACAATCAATAAATAAATATAAACTAATTAAAATTTTAATAATATATCAAACAACCCAAATAAATTATTTAACTTAATTTTAATCGGTATAAATATGTTATATATCATAAATGACAGATTTTTCAACAAAAAATAAATTTGATTTTAAATACTATAGGTAATAAATGGATAAATCTGAATTGATTAAAATTAACTACTTATTTATTTCTAAATTTTTATGGTTACCTATTGTCAAAACTCAGTACTCACTTCATATCCAAATCACAAAATTTTCTCTAAACATGGTAATGATACTACTAATATAAAACTCTAAATATATAGAAAATATTTATAAAAAAATTTAATAAAAAAAGTATTTTTATGTACCTAAATAATTTTCAAAACTTGTATTATTCTTCAAAATGCTAAAACCTCTTAGCTTCTCTCTCATTCTCTCCCTCTCTTTGTCTTCTCTGGCATAACACTCACTCTTCCACTTATCCTTCAAAATGCCAACCATCCTTACTAAATTTTCTTCTTTCATTTATTAACCCTCCCCATTTTTCCTCCTCCCTCTTTAATTACCCCCTTCCAATTTCTTCTTCGCCTTCAATGCATCCTACTTTTCCACCGACTTTGGTGGAAAAACTGGGGTGTGTTGTTGTTATTTTTTTCCCCAAAATATTAATAAAATATTATTATTTTATAATAATAAATATATTTTTTTTTGAAATAATTTTTTTTCATACCTAGGATGCTGCACAATACACATCTTCAATTGGCATGACATGACTGTGACATGGGACTAGCCTCTCTCAAGACTCTTGCTTGCTGGACTAGCAACTTCTATTAGTAACTAGGATCTTCTCCCCGTGCGTGTGCACGGATGGTTATGCTGCATGTAATTTTTTTGCGAGTTATGTATTATTGTGTTTTTGTAAGTTATATGAGAGGTGAGGATGGTTATCCAGTTGCCTGAAGTGCATAAATGTAAGTTAATCCCAAAGTCATAGAGTTCTAAATGTAACGTAATTGGGGTAGCTGTCATGTTGATAATATGAAGTTGAAAGGCATCTCACGAATTGGATGATGTGGTCACTCCAAATGGACATTTTGGAAGACCTTACAATATACCACACTAAGAATAACATTCGTGGAAGAGCGTCCGATAGGATCTTCTCCCTGTGTAACTATTGTTTATGGAGGCTCTTTGTTAAGTATGATATTTGATTAATTCAAGTGTAATAGGGGAGGTGAAGAGGGAAGGACTGTCATGTGAGCTGCTTAAATGTAAATAATTCTCATTTTATTATAATGCATCACATGATAGTACTATGTAATTTTAACGAAGGAAGTTCTCATACTAATAGTGTGTAGATGCCAGCCAGCCGTGACGGTGAGAACAAGGTCATTCCGAATGCACATTCTAGAAGACTTCCCTATAGACCATATATTTTGAGACTATCCATATTCTTGACCCTTGACAATAAGACATACAATGTTCACATGTGAGCATTGACTTGGGCAAGTACAAACTGATGTTGGTTAATGACTGGCCCTGGCTCTTATTGCTGGTCATCGCAAAAAAGATGATGAACAGAAATTGTCTTTTGGTCATTTTGAATAGGAGGGTAGTTTTTGACGGATTCATTTCAATGCAGTACAAAAAGGCTAAAGTTTAAAGAACTTAACGCGGAGGAAAAATATACATCATAGTTTATGTTTCTTACAAAATACATGTGAAATTTTATACGGATCAAATATATATGTATATAGAATATATAACAAAGACACAAATAACCATCATGGACATACATATAAATGCAAAATACATACAATATGTAAATTATATTTTACATATAATTTGTTTGGCCAAATTGTTTACATATAATTCAAAGTGTATATATATATTATATGAATATCTTGCATAATATTTAAAAAAATATATGTATAATGTATATAAAACAAAAAATGATTAATTAACATGGGGGAAAATCAATTGAAAAAAAAAACCGAAAATGGGGAAATATCTATCTGGAAATTGTAGCAGGTGATGTAATGCTCAATTTAAGAAATTGTGAAATATGATTTACAAACCTGAAAGGAACGACCCAAAAGTATGGTAGAGATTTGGGGATAAAAATTTTCATAAAAGGATCCCAAATTTAAAGCGGTCATCATATACAATGCGAATTTGAAAATATCAAAATCGGTCAATAACGGAGCGTGCATGAAGCTGCATCATATTTGGGGATAGGGTGCAGCTTGAACATTCCGAGCATGGTGAAAATAGGAGTCCTATATGAAATCCTTTACAACGTAGGAACGACGTTAGGTGACAAGACTAGAATGGAGGTGGAAACCCAAATGCATCGTGAAGACAGGGTAGTACCAAAAGAATCGCTTCTTGGGGAGGGGACCAAGAATGATGCCGGAAGATTCATGCATCACGAAGACGGCGGTAGTACCCAGAAGAATCACTTGGTGGGATAAGGACCAGAGAGGATGCTAGAAGAGTCGCTTTGTAGTGGAAGGAGCAGGAACGACCGCTGCACTTGGAAGGGTTAGAGCCATAGACGATGGGGGAGGATTGAGGATCTGCTAGGAGAATAGGTAGGAGCTGGTCAGCAACGGGTATGATAATCCATATAAGCCCATTATAGCGTGAATAATCCTACTGACCCGCCTAACCCGTTTTGCCTCTTGCTGGACTAGCAGGACTTCTATTAGTAATTGGCTTTCTATGTTTAGTCCGTCCGTTAACATTCATAATCACTATAGCATGGAATTATTTACATACTCAACTTTGGCAAACCTTTCTTATAATTGGGTCAAAATGGATATGATCGTATGCTATATGCATTTATAACCTTTTTTTCCTCTAAGAAATTACCACCTTGGCCCTCTCCCTCCAACTAACAACGTAAACTAGAAGTGTTTGTGTCTTGTCTCAATTTCAGTTATTTTGGGACGGGATCATTCCGTCTAGAAAATTGGGATGGGACAAAACAGGATGAAACATGAGACAGGGTGACTCATTCCAATCTTATTACGATATACTCCTATGATCCTATTTATAAGGCGCTTCCAGCATATTTCACACAGACCAAGGAAAACCTTAAACTTCATTAACTCTCATTTAATATTTAATGACTTTCCAACTTTATCCATATTTAATATACATTATACTTCATATAAATAAGTTCAACACAATAATAAATGAGGGTTAAAATTGTACATCCATACAAAAAATTTCTCTGTGCCTTATAAACATGACCAAAAAATATCTTCTCTCTGCCTTATAAATAAGACCAGAGGAGTATTATCTTTTTTATTTTATAAATTTATTTCACTGATCATTATAATGCGGGAGAATTAGAGTGAAAGATATTGAACAAATAATATTTACTAAAAAGAATCTTAAAAAATTTAGTTATTTAGAAAGACCCAATATTAAAATAAACATTTAAAAATACCAAATTACCCCCTCAACAAACCCCATACATTCTCTCTCACCCACGATTAGTGTCAAACGG